TATTCCAAAGGTCGTAGGTTCGAATCCCACCGTGGCTGGGCATATTTTTCAAGCTCGCCCGGTGTGGATATGCACTCAGAGTAACATCACAAACATATTATTCACCTGAGTACACAACACCAGCACAGAAAAAATTCATAATTGCTTTAGCATTATACCCTATTTTTGTTGTCTTTTTCTTACAAAAAACATAAAACTAAATAAAAACCGACAAATAAAACGGCCAATTCCGAAATTTTGTTTGCTTGACTTCATCCTTAGTTATAAGGATGAAGGCTAGCACAACCGAGATTGTGGCAAGTCTACCGAAATCTCGGCAACGGGATCCACCCGCTTCAAATAATTAATACGATGGAAATTTTTATGGTAAAATAACTCTATAGGAAGATTCCAGGAAAGCGGAACGCCTCGGTGATCGGGCCCATACAGTTTCTTACTCTTTCCTCTTGTGTCTGTCCTTTGTGTCTCAAAATCGAAGCTTCTAGAAAAATGTTGTTGCCCGCGGAATCAAAGTTGAGCGAAATGTTTAAATTTTAACAATGGGTAACCTATTGTAAATTTATCTTGATGTATTGCGATTAATACATTGCGAACTGATTGTTGATAATTATTAATCGATTATGAGTATGAGCGGATCGGTACAGCTGTATTTGTAAGGCTTTCTTCGTGTAGTGTTATGTTTTTACTGTATTTTTATAGGAGGCACACAAAGCATGGCAACATCAAGAATATCAATATGCAAAAGCTTTATTGTTCATGTTCTCTGTCTGTCATATCATGGTGGTAAGAACTAAGATGTCTGCTTAGAGAAAGAGAGTTTGCTAATTCAATTAGAGTTTGCTAATTCCTAGAATCTCTCTACCCCCTCCAATAAAGTGTCCAACACCACCAAAATTTCGCTTCACCCCTCCTATTTTGTGTGGAAGGTTTTGACCCGAACGCCTAACCCCTGCCGAAGCTCACTCAGTGGTGCCGCTTGCACCCCACCAGAAATGTTTCTACCCCTCCTTTTAAATAAATGAAAATCCGCCCATGGCTAATTCACACTTCCGGAAAGTGCTTTGCCTCCGAGTTGTAGGGTGGCAATAACGACTTGTGACTTAATTGACTTGCAGGACTCCAACAAAATGACTTCTGGTGAAAATTAACTTTTCTAGTGCAGCCATGGGGATTGGCATATGCCCATGTATGACTGTGAGCTTGTAATGACTGTGATCTTGTAATACTGCAGTATGACCGTGAGGTTGTAATGTATATTATATATGATTGTCATGGGTGACTCCCCAGTTCATGATATACAGAACTGTACAGAATTGCAACTTGACTTGGTCAGACAAAATGACTTGACTTGGAATCCGAGACTAAATGACTTATCAAAATAAGACTTGTTAACAACTCTGCTTTGTCTTGACTATGAACCTTGTTTTGTGACTGGGATGTTGACTTTCGAGCTATCTGTCTTGCTACTGCATGGTAGTGTAATTATTATATAAAAGACCAGTTTGACATTATTATAACTGCATGTTTGGTTTTCGAAAATGTGTCACATGTTTCAATCACGAAAACGAGGCTGTATAGCCAAGGATTAATGATTTTCGCAAAGGTGTTTTACATTGTATTTAATCGATTCAAAGACAGTCAATAAAAAATTAACCGAATTAGAATGGAAGTACATAATTTAGATTTGACTTTTCGTACTGTAGTTGATGCATCCCACTCAAACGTTCGATGTCAGCTATATCAGATTGTTTAAACTGGTTGCAAATACAAGGTATGGAGAAGCACTTGAGGCTAAGTTTACACTGTCAAAGTTTCTGTGATCACAGTAAGAATTTTGCATGGGTAACGATTTGTAAGAAATATGTGAGGGAACTGTTAAACACTGAGTCAGTTCCCTCAAACATCTCTTATAAATCCTTAAAAACCTGGACCTATACAAAATTCCTACTGTGATCACAGAAACTTTGATAGTGTAAACCAGGCTTTAGTTGTATTTAAAATGTCCAAACATTCGGTGCTCTCGGTAATTCAAACGCCAAGCATTAAAATGTAATTCACTGTAATTTTTAGACAACAACTCATTACTATACTAAGCCAAGAACTGAGCGGTGTGGAAGGAATTCATGATATTTGGAAACAAACTGGAAGACCTTGCATTCCAAGACTTCTGTGCTCTTTTCAGCAAGTACGGAATGCCTTAAAGAATGTGCAAATTAAGTGTCTTTTCTATGACGTTTTACCCATCTATTGTGGAAGCCAGCTTTTGCACATGTTAGCGTTGTAAAATAAGTAATAATAAATCTTCATTGCCAGTGGAAGGATTGAACACTGGGAAATAAGCTTCAATTAACTGATTGGGGGGAATTACCTTGCTAGTTTAGCTTTTCATTCTATTATCTTAATTCTATATTTTAGAACAAAAATTCACAGCTTTTGAGCCGAAATGTTTCGGAGGTTAGTAAAATGAGTACCAACTATATTGTTAATTGTTCTTTCTATACAAACGTCTATACACTATATAAGTCATATTTTTCTTCTAGGTGGAGTCAAACCCAGATTCTTATGCAAGTCGAACAAAAATTAAATCTCAGGTAACAGCAAAGTGTAATGGTATAATTTGAACGTCGATTATCTGGGGTTCAGGGGGGTGCGAACCACCATCTTAGGCTTGTCAAACGGAAGTAGAGGGAGAGGGGCAATTTCCTTATCAAATCCATGTACCACCAGTTAGACCCCTGGGGACTGTAGTACCCCAAACCCAAGGTTCTGACTGGATCCATCCCTGTCTGTCACTGATATATTGGCCATTAACATTCAGTAAAACCTGATTTGTTTCAATTTGGTGTATATTCTTGCAGACTCCAGCCAAGAGCCCGCTGACAAATCTACAACATGCGTTAGAAGACCAGGTTTACAGCATCATGAGAAAAAGTCGCTTATTGGGCAGTCTGAGGTAATGTGTCTGCTGTTATTCCCACTTAAACAACTTGTACAATATTGTTATATCATGACTGTATCAGACTTGTTGGAACAACCTTGCTACAAGTCTGATAATATCAACAAGCTTGGTACAAGCTGTTAACAACTTGTACAATATTGTTATATCATGACTGTATCAGACTTGTTGGAGTGTTACAAGTCTGATAATATCAACAAGCTTGTTGTTACAAGCTGTTTAAGTATCTATACATGCATGATCAGTGGTCAGGGCAATTCCTGGTTAGGGAATTAAAAGGATTAATTTTTCAGCAAGATCCTATTGGACACGAAAAGTTGTGACATAATGTAATGGAGATTTATTTTATCCTCCATAGTTCCAGTTCATTATTCACTGTCACGTCCAGTCATAACTTTGTTCATGTCCAGGCAGCAGAAATCTCGCGTTCTGCCGATACTCTTGATCTTTTGGTGAAGAAATTTCCATTCCCAGCTTTACCTGGTGAGTTTAATTAAGCACATGTTTACGAGATAGCTGAGCTATCTCAGACATACCTTTCACTTCTGTGATCGGGTTCGATTCCTGGAACAGTCGCATGTGAGAAGAGTATTTCATGATCAGTTTGACTGTACCAAACACACCAAGATTTCTTCTGATAATATCACTAGACCAATAAAGCATGACCCTTACTGGACCTCTGGGGAAAGGACTTTAGATTTAGTAGTACCAGTAAAGTTGGTTTAGTTTAGCTTTAGCTTTATGTTGTAATATTAGATCAATAAGTTTTAGAAAAAACTTCAACACTTTTATCGAGCGAGGAGCCCGAAATTCTGATATGTACACCTTACACTGGCATATACCTTAGTATAGAAAGATAAACTTGCGGTTATAATGCTCGTCAACCGTAGCTCAGTTGGTTAGAGTGTTGCACCGGAATCACAGGGCCACAGGTTCGATTCCTGCTAGAGGACCTATAGTTGCATTTTTCGCAACTGTTTCTGGTTAGGACTAGCTAATTGTATAAAATTTACAGTCGAAATTTCCATATACAAAAAAGCTTTCAACATCTAAATAAAGTTGGTTACCTTTATCAGACAGTTTTAGGTCAGCACTCTTTCCCAAGCCTCCGCAAAACACCACCCCCTTGGACAGCAGCACAAATTCTGGTCACATGTTATTCCGAGATTTCTTGCGGGAACAAATTGATAACCTGATGACGGGTGATGGTCGTGATGGACTGGCTGAGGGACGTAGAGGGACACATGTTGAGGTAACACTCGGCCTTTGGGCTCGTGTTTGTACTGTGATCCTTGTTCTTCTAAATTTTCGTGTCTAAAGATTTTATAACTGTATTATTGAGTTTCATAAACATAAGGCCATTTCATTAATCTTTATGAAAACGGCCAACAACTAGCATGAACCTGTTTTTGTCGTAGTTTCCAAATTATTATGTTATTATATTGTTTTTGTCCGTAAATGCTATTTTCCGGTTCACCAACCATGAAACTTTGCAGTTAGTAATTTTACATGTCATATGTCTAGGCTTTTATATGTCATATGTTGTTGTTGTTGTTGTTGTTGTAATTGTTGTTGTTGTTGTCGCCACCAACATGAGAAAGCTTTCTATTTCATTTTCCAAGGTGCCCACCATCAAGCAATGGGCCAAGGTTTGTGTTTCTGTATTTGGATATCTCATGAGTGACAGAAGTAATGAAAACAATCATATGGTTTCACTGGCTGCAAACCTGGACCTCGACATGAAGTTTTCTGATGCGTGAGTTTTTTACTCCTTTTTATTTTGCAGAGAATAATAACCCAGGAATGTTCCCGTTTACATTTAGGTTCAATTCCTGCAATACAACTGTTGGCTGATTATAGACCACTTTCATAATACAGATGGGTTTAAATATTCTTTTATGTATGTATTAATAAACCTTCTTGTCCTTGTTTCAGGTTCAAAAATTCTATTTACTTTCAGTCACAAAAACGAAGAATAATATTTAAACCCATCTGTATTAAATGGTCTACATTTCATCTCGGTTACATGTGAGAGGAGTTCTTGCGGATTGATTCTCTTGAACACCGCAATTATTTTTTCCCTGTAACTTTCCCTTTAGGCGTTGCCGTAAAGTTCTTCCAGTTGCCAGCAGTGCATATCTCGATAATCTGCCGTCTCATTATCCGGAAAGCGTGCATATTAATCAGGTATAGTCAAACCTCAGCTGACCATGTTGCAGACACAAACCGACACTTGTTGCAATAGCTTATCTATTAAACTTCTTTCAAGATTTGTGATGTTCACCTATAGTTGTTTTATTTTAGTTGAACCAAGCCCTTCGCGTGTTCGCGATGAACGCCCGAGGTCCTGCATATGAGAAATACGTCCTGCAGCTGCAAGATGATTGTAATAAGGTCAGCAGCGTTTTGATTATATTTGTCAAGCTTGTTGTAAATGAGGATTGGATATCTGCATGACCTTGAATGTATATATATATAGTATTTCTAAATGGCTAAATGAGTTATGTGCTGGTACATTAAAACGGACATTCTTTCCTTCTTTCGTTATTTCTTGTACCATCTATTTTTCTTGTTCCTCAGATGTGGATAAATGGCAGACAGTTATGTGAAGTGCGCAGCCTTAAAGGGCGACATTGTATCTATCCGGTAAGCGCTTATATTTTTTCATTAGATAAGTATACAATTTTATGACGTTGTTACTTTTAACAAATTGGTACAAGTAATGTTCTAGGTTATTAATTTCGGGTAACATCTTCAATTATTATTCACCATAAAGCCCCGTTTACACTACGCTCGATTTTTGGTACCGTACCACTTTTTTGGCTCTTGGACTAGCTATTTAGGTAGTCCAAGAACCAAAAAAGTGGTACGGGTACCAATTTTATCCGTGCCGTACCAAAAATTGGGCGTAGTGTAAACGGGGCTTAAAACAACCTTCTTTTCATTACTAAAATATCTTTACTCTGTTTTTTTAAATTATAGTTTCATACAGTTCCAGGACAGCAGATTGCGGACAGTCTTCCGATAGACAAGAGCACTATATCATGTAAACCTCACTCGAGCCGTATCACCAGCACCTGTGCATGTAACTGCGGACGAACACAAGCACAACGCGAAGACCCGTTTGATTTAAAGGTGCTGATTGTCTAAGTTTTCTTAATAATCGACATTTCTTTCTTGTCTTTGCTCTTTCAACGTACTTATATTTATAACAGACACTCGCGAACGATATGTATTTATAAATATAAGTACGTTGAAAGAGTAAAGACAAAGAAATGTCGATTATTAAGAAATTTTGTTCGAACTCTTTCCTGGCTTCGATGAATGAACTTTCAAGACGATGATTGTCTAAGGCGTTGCTGATTTCCTTTTATTTTCTGTTTTCTTCTAAAGAAGTGAAAGTGCTGCCGACACAGCGATTAGTGCATATTTCTTCTTCTGTGTGCCTGGGTTCAATTTCTTGCATTATGCAGTTGTCTGATTATAATTTAACCTCAGTTGAACGTGAGAAGAGTGCTTCCAGTTTGAATCTCCCAGACACTCTTCCAGTAACGTGAATCTCCCAGGCACTCTTCCAGTAACTTGAATCTCCCAGACACTCTTCCAGTAACTTGAATCTTCCAGACACTCTTCCAGTAACTTGAATCTCCCAGACACTCTTCCAGTAACTTGAATCTCCCAGACACTCTTCCAGTAACTTGAATCTTCCAGACACTCTTTTCCAGTAACTTGAATCTCCCAGAC